AATCTGCTCTGTAAAGACCTTAGTCAATATGTACCTTAAGCGGCATTCAGCCTAGTTTATTTTTCACATTGATGCTGTTTTCTGACTTCTTTCTCTGTCTTCTTGCTCCATGGGGACTCCCTATATGAATCTATCATTTGGATCCCATGGAGAAAAATAGCATATACTTGAAATCCCATCAACTTTCCCAAAGAGCTAGCAACCACAGGAGCCAAGAGGACCACAGGCAATGTTCTCCTTTTGATTCTGTGCAGCTATCACATATGTTTTAAATGACCATTTATTTTCAAAAGATCCCAGGCAAAAGAGAACTAACACAAATATAAACATTTGAGGGGATCCTGGCATTCCTTTCAAAATTACTTTTGTCCAAGGGAAGCTTCAGGTTGCTGGGAAATGTCACACTCGTAATGCTCGCTCAACAAGACTGACTTTTACACAACAGGCCTTGGCAAGTCATTTCCCTTTTGGTATACAGAGCTCTTATTTTCCCCACAAGGGAATCAGCTGTGATCATTTGTGATTCTCAAAGGACTCAGGTTCGAAAATAGATTCTGAAATTTTTATTAACAAAACATCTATTTTGCATATCTAGCATTCTGTATCCTTTTCATATAATGCTTTACAATGAAGTGTCTGTCATAAAAAACATTAAACTGTAAAGATGGTGCTTATACAACATAATTTAATGTCCCAGCAAGAACTAGTGATTTGTTATATACATTACACACTATTGTGATGTATGCTTCCAGATTTTAAATCTTTGGAGGGCAAATAGTCACCAATATCGTTGTGGCACTAGACTATGATTTTTTTTTCTTGATACCAGGCTGTGTCCTAATGTCTAATATAAAATAATTATACAATATGTTTATTAAATAAATAGCATAGTTTGGGTTTTAAATGCCTGTGTTTGTAATGGGTTCAAAGATTTTAAAATACTAAAATTTAGAGAGTTGAAAGGAGAAGTGCTGGAAGAGGAGAAAAGATTTTCCCTCTGCTCCTTGGTCAACCATCAGGCAGTCATTTCATTTGCCTTCCTGTCTCACCTAGGGTTCTTGGTCCCAAGCAACAGAAATAGATTCTAGTTAATAGGAGCAGAAAAAGAATGAAATGAAATTGTATTAGATAGCTCACTGAAAAGATGGAACATCCAAAGAAGGAAGCTTGGGCAATGGGTACAACCAAAGGTGAGCTCTTAGCCTGAAGAAATTCTCTAAAATGCTGTGTCTCCAAATTTCTTGGCAGGTGTACATGCCTGACTGAGCCCAGATTGCGTACCATACCATGGCTTCAGGGGGATCTGGGGAATAAGTGTCTGAGACCTCCCAGCTTCTACCACAGGATGTGGCTCTGCCTCTCACTATGGCTATAATATGGGAATTCCCCAAAGATGGGAAGGAGTTCACAAATTGGCAAGCCCAAAAAAAAGAAAAAAAGAAAAATGTATATATGAACAAGTCTGTTACATTTCCTACCTGGCCAGAAGCATTTTGAATTTCCTCTCTTTGGCTTTTTGTGATACCTGCTTTGATAATCCTCAACACTGAATAAACACAAGCTTTTTTTTTAAATTGTAGGTCTCAGGGCAGTTAAAAATCACTTAGGAAGTACACACAATTGGTCATGAGTCTGTAGTCTATTCCTAGGAAATTCAATTAATACAAAGGCTCTAAACCCATCCCTACCCCCCGCCTCACCCTATAGAAATGTAATTCTGTGCAGGTCTTCAGGAGATTCTGATGCATATTTCTGGTTAGAAATCATGTTTTAGTCTTTCTCATTTCCTACAGCTTCTTTACAAACTATTTCTATTTTTCTGAAGCCCCAACCCCACACCATCAGTCTTGATCAATGACTCTTTATTCAATTGGGAAAACCAGTTCATCTGATGCAAACTCACTTAACCTCTCTCCCGAGACTTCAACTCAAACTTTCTTCTTTTCTTTATCCATTTCATCCTCCTTTCCTGCTTTGTTCTTCCTTCTTCCCAAGGCTAACTGGCTAATGTGATGCTCATCTGAATGTCCTCTTGACTAATTAGAAACTTTGCCTAATATTCACCTGCCTTTTGGCTGTGTCTTTGGCCTCATTTCCCTGTTGTCTAATTTGCTTTGACCCCCAAGTGTCCAAGTCTTGCTTGACCTTAAAACCCTTTCCACTAGACCCTGCTTCCCATAGGCTATGTTCCTGTTCTCCACCTTCATCTTTCACATCCGAAGGGCTGAAAGAAGCAGTTTGTACTCATGGATGCTTCTCTCTGACCTCTCACTCATCCTCCTTTTTGTTTGTTTTATTTTCAACATTTACTTGGTAGCAGTCATTCCTCAACTCTTGTAAGTGCTTCCAAGCTCCCCTTCAGGACACAAGTCACTCATGGCTTCCTGACAGCCATCCAATGACCTCTTCTTCATCTCCATCCCCCATGACCTTTCAGAAGCATATGGCCCTATTGAAGACCTCTTTCCTTCTTTGTGGCTTTTGGTGTAAATCCCTTTGGATTTTTCCTTCTACTTCTCAGACGATGCTTAATCAGTCTTCTTTGCTGGGCTCTCTCCTCTTCTTGCTCTGTTTTCTCATGCTGGCTGTTCTCATTTCTTTAACTGTAACTGCAAAGTAGATGACACTTGGATGTGTGTCCCCAACCCTGATTCTTTTATTCAGAGTTCAGATCTTTCCAACTGTTCACTTCCAAAGGATGCCCAGGCCTTTTTCCTTCTCCACCTCCCCATTCCATTACTCCTTTTAAAAATTTATTGCAGTTAAATATAAAACACTTAAAATTTCAACCACGTTAAAGCATATGGTTTGATGACAATAAGTACATTCACACTGTTGTGCTCAATTATACTTTTTAAATATCTGTATAGCTGGGAGTAGAAGGACCATTTCTGGTTCAATTGTTTATTCCTGGGGCCTGCTTCTATCTCCATATCATTGGCCAAGTCTGGTGCTTAGTGGTTAAGAGCATGGACTCTGGTGAGTGTGATCTGAGTTTAAATCTCAGCTCTATAACTGTAGCTGAGTCGTTCAACCTCTTTGGTCCCATTTTCCTCATCTTGGTATTCTCTACAATCACTCTGCTGAAGCAATAACAACTTTGTTTATTTGTGAGCAAACTCCCTTTAAATAACTTGTCCTGTTGGGGCTTGTGCTGGAAATGAAGAAAAAAGGATGCATTTGAAGAAAAGGATGGTTCTTAGCCAGAAAGTAGGTTTCTGATAAACTGGAGTGGGATGTTGAATCTGGCACTGGCTGGATTTATGAAACGAACAGCTCCACCTACACTTGTTATGAAAAACATGGGAAAACAATCCATCAGTAAATGATTTCGGTGAGTGCTTCCATCCTTGGTCAGAGGAGTAATTGTTCATCAGTGACAGGTGAACTTCTGTGAAAACTGAAAGGGCAATTTAGTTGAAATGGAAGCATTTATTCAGGAAGCAGGTGATTTGGGAAAATTTGATGTACATATATATATATATTTTTGAGACAGAGTTTCACTCTTGTTGCCCAGGCTGGAGTACAGTGGTGTGATCTCGGCTCACTGCAATCTCTGCCTCCCAGGTTCAAGTGATTCTCCTGCCTCAGCCTTCCAAGTAGCTGGGATTACAGGTGCCCGCCACCACGCCCAGCTAATTTTTTGTATTTTTAGTAGAAACGGGGTTTCACCACGTTGGCCAGGCTGGTCTCCTCACCTCAGGTGATCCACCTGCCTCAGCCTCCCGAAGTGCTGGGATTACCGGCGTAAGCCATCACATCAGGCCTGATGTGTTTATCTTTTAACATGCCTTTACATCCTGTGGATCTAAAGAGGCCACTTTAGTTATTTCAGTATTTATTTCATTTTATGAAGAAAAGTTTGCATATGAATGTTGGGAATTCTAGCAGGTCCTGCCTTAATGTGAAGAGGTATTTTGTTTGTCTTTGGCATTGATCTCCTTTTGGACCAGGCCTGATCCACTTCTCACATCCAGTCCAGGACCTGTCACAAAAGACTCACATTAGTACCACATGGTATCCTGTTTTAGTAAAGAATAGGTGAGGTATTTTAGTGAGTAGATCCTACTTTTCCTGTCAGATGCAGTGAACAGAAGACCCTGGAAGGATTTCTATCCAGAATGTCACAGGATAATGATAATAAGAGCAGATGTCTGTGATGCCCTTTACAAAGCACCTTTATATACTGTCTCTCATTCATCTCTAATGACACCTCCGTGATCCTCCATTTTTTTCAGATGAGGAAACTGAGGTTCAGAGTGGTTAAGCGAATTGCCCGAGATTTCACAGCTAATACATTGTGAAGCCTAGCCTAGCACCCAGGACTAAAAACTCGCGGCTTCTTTTAAGGCCACATATCGCCTCACCAGGAGGGTGGCCTCTCTGGAGATATACCCTACCCTCGGCTGACTTGATGTTGAGAACTTGGTCATCTTAAGCACGTGGGCCACGTGGGCAAGGCAGCCCTTCCCAAATTGTAAATGTCCCCACGTGGAGCCCAGGCGTCTGGCCGGAGCTAGAAGGTGCCCTGAACACTCAGTGGCCTCAGCCTCCCTGTAACGGCACGTGCTCAGGTCCCACATTCGGTCAGACGCCCCTCTCCACCGGCATCTGCCAGGTGGAGGCGCCACTGCGCTCTGCCTCCGCCCCAGCGAGCGCGTGTCCACCGGGGCGCGCCACGCCAGCCGTGCGCCCCAGCAGCTCGCCGTGCGCCCGCGCCCCAGGTGCCCACTAGCTCGCGCGCCGTCCGTCTGAGCCTTGGAGACCCGCGGCGGCGATTGCTCGGAGCCGCCCTGGACCGCGGCCTTGGGTCCACCACACTCCAGGGGCGGAGCGAGGCACCGAGACGTCAGGGCGGAGAACTAGCGCCGGGCGAGCGCGCCCTCCCGGCGGCTGCCCGCGTCCCACGTCCTCGGCTGGCGCGGCCGGCGGCAGCGGCGACCGGGAGATGCAGTGAGCGGCGGCGCTGGGGCGCAGCCAGGCGGCCGGGAGGGCGGGGGCCAGAGGCTGAGTCCGGGCGAGCCCGCCGTGCGCATAGCTCTGCCCGCCGACCCTGGAGAGGATCCCCAGCCGTCCCTCGGCGTTCTCCCGGGTTCTAGCAAAGCCCCCCGGGGTGCCCATCAGTTTCCTTGGGTGACTACAGCGTGTTTTTTTCTTTCCTCTTTCCCCTGCCTGTGTGCCCTTCTCCAGGATGGCAGAGGCGGAATTGCACAAGGAAAGGCTGCAAGCCATAGCAGTAAGTCCACTTTCATTTTATTTTCTTGCTCTATTGTCTGGGGTGGAAGGGGGCCCCCCGAGGGTTTCGGGGCGAGCGGCATGCCAGCACAGTAGCCGCAGGTCATATGTTCCGGGGACTAAAACTCTGTCAGGGCTCAGCTAGGCTGCCTTTTCTTTTCTATGTCTGTAGATGGAAACCCCCAAGGGCGGGCTTTGGACTGGGGATTTGAATGTGGAAGATTGGCTTAAAAATAAGATGCTTGCTGCTGGACTTTGGGGAAGGACTAAACAGAGGCTTGGGGTGGGGGGAGAACTCCAGGAATATTATCACCGAATGCTCAGACATACGTTGACTTCATATCCTGGAGAACCAAGAGAAGGGTGACCCAAAGGGTGGCTGCCATCCTCTCTGAGGAAGCCGTCCTTCTGTTAAGTGGAAAACCAGGAGTCAGCGACTCAGCCAGCCACGCGGTAGAATCTCCTCCCAGAAACCGGGAATGTTAGTTTTCCCTTCTCTGTTTGATATTGACAAGGGCACTGGCGCAAGCCACCTCCCTGGAGGTCTGGGGACTTCTTACCACTGGGTCCTGGTTATAATATTCCATGAGAGCCTCCTTATGGTGTGGAGTATCTGAAAACCTATTTTCAGCATACAAAGGAGCAGTCAGTTTTGGCAAAGTTCGCAGGCACTTTCAGAAAAGTGTACCCATGTGCATCTTGGGTTTAGAAAAGAACTCTCTGAGACTGCCTAGATTTGAGCAATCTTAACACAGTGTTGCCAATGATCCACAGATGTGGTATTTTTAGTGGAGCCACCACAGCTGGATTATATATTTCCTTTGAGGATGAGGGAATAATTACTGCTACCATATGAAATAGTAACAATTAAAAAAGAAGGTCCGTTAACATATTGGAATAAAAGAATCTCCAGACATTCTTCCACTTAAATACATTTTTTTTTCAGTTCGGAAGTTCTCTGGAAACACATATAAATTTGTTGGAGAAATAGTGTGTAATGTTTTAGAAGCAAAGTATATTAAAGTGTTTTCCAAAGTCTTTTTGGACAGATTCTTCATTGGGAAAATGCACACAGACCCTTCTTTTTTTAGAAGCATTTGACGTGGTCTCCATGGCTCTGAGACTCTCTTTCTCAAGCGCCTCAAATCTGAAGTGTCTTGGAGACTTCACCACTGAAGTGAGAGAGATGTTTGCTGGCAATATTGAAATGCCATGGTTTGCCTATTAGGTAATCTTTGAACGTGGTGCTCCGAACTCAGGAAGGTTGTTTTTTCTTCTTTCTCTTTCGCCCTGTGCATGTGTATTTTGATGATTTGTGAAGTTATTTGTGGTTTCTAAAGTTGGTGGCAAGGCAGCATGGCCAGTGTGTCATGAACTTGATAAGAATGGTGATATTGAGTTAATGGTGCCATGTAGCTGGTGGGTGTTTTGTGTGAACTGGATAATAGGCTGCTTTAACTGTTGATGCAGGGGCTGTTCCCACTGGCCGCTGCTGAAGGCTTCCAACAGTTGTCACATTTTCTGCCTTTGCACAACCAGCTTTACTGGATGCCTGAGGAACAGCTGAACTCCATGAAAGGACTTGCTTTCCAAACATGGAGCCAGTAGCTGCTAACACTGGGGCTACCCTTTTCCAAGTGCAGTTGAGTAATCCCAGCAGAAGCCAAGTCGATTTTCAAGAAAGATCTAGGCAAATCTTTGGGAATTCTCTTGAGTGTATAAGAATACACACAAATACTCACTCGTGCCTCTTCAGTTATTGAAGAATTGAGTTTATCCTGTGCATCGGGGAAGCTGTTGATTATTCTTATAAATGTGCACCTATACAGTCTGCCGTCCCTATCCATGGGTTCCATATCCACGCCTTCAGTCAACCTTGGATTGAAACTATTGGAAAAAATAATGGATAGCTGAGTCTGTACCGAACATGTACAGACTTTTTCTTGTCATCATTCCCTGAACAAATAAAATCAACTGTTTACATCGCATTTACAGTGTATTAGGTATTATAAATAATCTGAAAATGATTAATGTATGTGGTAGGATGTGAGTAGGTTATATGCAAATATCATGCTATTTTATAGGGACTTCAGCATCCTTTGATTTTGATATCCAAGGGGGGGTCCTGAAACCAATTCCCTGAGGATACTGAGGGATGTTGTCAGGACAGATTTGCTAAGAGTGTGTGTGTGTGTGTGTGTGTGTGTGTGTGTGTGTGTGTCTGAGAGAGAGAGAGAGAGAGAGAGAGAGAGAGAGAGAGAGAGACAGAGACAATTAAGAGACAGAGGGAGTTGGGTGGGGGGACTTATGGCCATATCGATAAATGGTTTTATGCTATGCTTTGGCCTAGTGCTCACTCTCTGAATTCTGCAAACCTGACTCTCTCACCACCTTCCTGGAGTTCTCAGGGGGCCCCAAGGAGCTCACAAGCCTGCCCCCAGAACCTAGCACTCCTGAAGTCTCTCTGGCAATGTGAGGGAAGAAGAGAATAGGTCCTCACATCTTCACCTACTTGGGCTTCTCTCTCAGAGGCAGAGCATCGACTGGGATTCCAGTCTGTGGGGCCTTGGGCAGTCTTTAATCTGGGTCTCAGCTCCTTCATCTGTAGAATGGGCTCATGAGTTCTACCTCCGGGGCTGGTTGTAAGGTTTAGTTAGGATGGAGGTGAAGCACCTGGCAGGTAGCTGCCATTGGATGATGTTGAGCAGAGCCCTTAGCTAGCTTTTGTCTGTATTGCTGTCTTGTCCTGTGGGGGGTCAGAAGCAACATCTCTGAAGTGGAATGTGTATCAATGGCTTTTATTTTTTCTTTAGACAGAGTCTCACTCTGTCACCCAGGCTGGAGTGCTGCCATGATGGCTCACTACATCCTGAAACCATCCTTCCATCTCAGCCTTACCAGTAGCTGGGATTACAGGCGTGTGCTACCATGCCCAGCTAATTTTAAAATTTTTTGTAGAGATGGGATTTTGCCTTGTTGCCCAGGCTGGTCTGGAACTCCTGGCCTCAAGTGATCCTCCCACCTCAGCCTCCTAAAGCACTGAGATTAAAGGTATTAGCCACTATACTTGGTCTGAACAGTTTTTTTTTTTAATCCCTTCCTTCAACTAACTGAAAGTCAGGGCCCTGATCAGCATCACTTTCTCTAAATGCTTTAGACCGAAGCAGAGATATGACTTGAGGATTCATTCATCCATTTGCTCAGTAGGTATTTACAGATTGCCTCCTCTGGGAAGGTATTGGCAACACTGAGAAGTTCGTGTCCCCAAGTTTCAGCCACCAGAGGCTGAAACCTTTGTTTCACCTTTTGCACATAATTTCTTGAAGGACAGATGTCCTGAGACCTAAGATGCTTGTCACACGAACATCTGTGGAATATCCCCCCCACAAAACTGAATTAAATACTTAGAAACTACAGTGCTTTAATGGAGTCTTCCATTTATGTCCAGGAACTAATCAATGAGAAAAGATGACTCTTATCCTATTTTCTGCCAAAAGAAGAGCAAGTCCATCTTTGACAATGATCTCTATGCTCACATGCTCCTTTCATCTGTAGGGATACTCCCCAAACTTTACATTTAGAACACGGTAAAAAAGCCTGTGAAACAGCATAAATGAGAATGGTAATCCCAGGGACTAATAACAGCAATTGCCATTTATTTAATATTGTTCATTCAGCAAGGCATGGTGTGAAATACTTTTTGTTTTTCATCTAACGTTATTTATAGTCTAATGGAAGAAACACAAAAGCACATAAGCAGCTACTATTCAGGAGTACTATGAAAATGAGTACCCAGGAGGAACATGTAAACCAGTCTCAGAGTTGTGACACCATTCCCCAAAGAGAAGACATTTGAGTAAGTCCTGAAAATTGGGTAAAATAAAATATAAAATAACATCATAACCTTCCCAATTACCAGGAGGCATTTGTTTATTTGTTATTTGATTGTTACTTATTCAGGACATTTAGTGTGAGAAAGGGAAAGGCAAAAGCATGAAGAAGTTAAGTTAGTAGCTAAAGACACAAACTCGGAATGAACACTGAAATGCTTTTCAGCATGTATTATCTCACTGAATCCTAAAAAGAAGCTTATGAGGTAGGCACTACAGTTTTACTCATATTTTATAGGCGAGGAGGTTCTAGAACTGGCCTAACATTAAGCTGATAGTATCAAAGCCAGGATTTGAACGCTGCCCACAGCAGGCCATTGGAGCCTTTGCTTTGACTGCTGCCCTGAGCTACCACCCAAGATGGCGGCAGCGTCTCACACTTTTCCCATGAGCACACTGTGCAGGTGGTCTCAGCAGCCCGAGTGTGAGCGCAGGAGGGAGCAGCAGACTGACTCCATTGCAATGAGAAAGCTTGAGACAAGCCAGGAGGCCCACCTGCTTTTGAAAGTCTTTCAAGCCTGGATTCAGTGCATAGAAACACCCAACATAAAATTTAATGGAAAGAGTAACATTCCCATGGGGAAGAAGCTGTTGTGTCTCAATAGAAACCAACCTTGGGGGAGGGTGCTGTTATGTCTGCACATTGGAGAGGAAGATAGTTTTCTTTGGGCATGAGTGAAAATAACTAAATGTTATAGAAATTGTCTTGGGTGAAACTCCTAAGAGCCACATGGACAAGGCTCAGGTTACACCAGGGACCAGCATAAGAATGTATATATATATGTGCAGAAATAGGAAATGCTAATCTAACCTATGCTGTTCTTTAGGGAATTTTGTCATTTAATTAGAACCCACTCTGTGAAGTAATAAAAATGATCTTTGCATTTGTGCAGTACTTTATGAAAACCTTTTTTTGCTACCTTCGTCCTGAGGTGTGTAGGGCAAATCTTATATGCTTCACAGATGAGTATTCAGAGCTATCTAAGCTTACACAGATAGAGGTGGAAGAGTTGTAGTAAATCCCAGCCTCTCCTGACTCCCAATTCTTGTATTAGTACGTTTTCACGCTGCTGATAAAGACATACCCGAGACTGGCTAATTTATAAGGAAA